AAATAAATAAATAATTTGAAAATAGTTCGGGCATGTTTGCATTGCGAATAATTCGCTCGAGTATAATGTCTTTCTCATTGCGAATAGTCTTAGTTAAGAAGGAAGTTGTCACATGAGTTTTTGGTGTGTATTATCATGGTTTGAATCAAATCACTATTTTTAATCGTTATCATATTCTAATTCCTGATAAAACTATTGGATAAGCTTCAAGGTGCTGCTGCTTTTTCCAAACTAGACTTATGTTCTGGCTATCATCAGATTCGTATGGTTGTGCTAATATTTATAAGCTGGGATGTTGAATGCATGAAGGATAATATGACTTTTTTTATTATGCCATTTGGCCTCTTCAATGCACTAATGACTTTCCAAATATTATGAATACAATTTTAAAATCTTATCTTCATCATTTTGCCATTGCACTGTTCAATGATTTTTACAATAGTTATATGTCAGATCATGCAAACCACTTGACTTCAGTACCAAGATTCCTACAAGTAAATTTGCTTTTCGTCAAAAAATACAATTTTCTTTGGATAAAGCGACTTTGAATATCTGTTATGTTGCTAGCAATAGTTGTTGCTCCAATTGTGCACAAGAGTGGTGCAATTGTGAATTAGCCACCACCCAAAATATTGAAACAGTTATGTGAATTTTAGGCCTCACAGGTTAATATCGACACCGTGTTCAACACTCTGTAACAATAGCTACTTCTGTCTCCACATTTTTGTTAAATATTGACGTTCAATTTAGATAATTCATTTGTTGCTTTGAAATTAATTTTGGCAAACTGTTTATCGTTGAAACATATGCTTTTGGCATGTGCATTGGTATAATTTTAGTACAAGGAAAGCAAACCATTAAAATTTTCCGCTAAAAAAGTTAATGCAAAAATTCAGCAACCTTAAACATATGTTTGCGAACTCTTTTGTATAGTCAATTCACTTTTCAAATGGTATCAAAATCTTTTAGGCATAATTTATTATCAAAACAGATCAATGAAGTATCCATGAGATGATGAATCAGATCATTCAAACACCAGAGCTGCAATACTTTCTTGTTAAATTACTTTGGTTTGATTATCCAATTGATTATATTTTTGATTCATCTAATCAGGTAATTAACTACCGCATTCACAAAGAAGATTTTCTCATTTCCTCGGTCTTACAACATCTTCATATCTTGTTAAATTACTTTGGTTTGATTATCCAATTGAGTATATTTTTTATTTATCTAATAAGGTAATTAACTACTCCGGACTCACAAAGAAGATTTTCTCATTTCCTCGGTTTTACAACATCTTCACTTGACAATCCACTTTTATTAAAAATCCAACAAGCAATTATAGAAGTCACAACATTGCCTTAGCTACTTTCTAATATTTTGCTACATCCAGATAAGTTTGTCTAACTATATTTCTAAATATGGGTTAGTTTTGTATGATGGAAAAAATTATTGTTACTTTCAAAAATACCTCATTTCTTATATCCTATATGAATTTTGTTCTGAGGTTATTGTCAGTCACTTAGGAGTCAAGAAAATCATTTACTGTCTCAACGCAATCTATTTTTGCCCATTGTAACAAACCTACTTTAAGAATTGTCAAATATCAACATAGGTAGGCCGTTTTCTACAACCCCTTCATTCGGGAGGATTTGTCTATGGATTTCATCATCAGTCTCCCTGCTTTGGGTGGTAAAATAATAATTATAGTGGTTGTTGATCGCTTATCTTAATATGGTTGTTTTATCCTTTAGCAAATTATTTTACTGTTTTAAAGTTACAACTATTTTTGACTTTTTGTTGCTGGCACTTGTAAGTTGCATGGTATTCCTTGTGCTATTATATTTTATTGAGATCGGAATTTTATGAGCAAATTTTGGCGCAAATTATTTCATCTACATGGCAAAGTTAAGGTTTAGCTCAGCTCATCATCCATAAACTGATGGGCAAATTGAACAACTTCAGGTCTCAAACAGTACCTTCGTTGTAATACTATGGATTTTCCTTCCACATGTGCAGTACTTGCCTTGTGGAGAATTGCAATACTACACTTCCTTTTCTATTTCAGTTGGCTTCACCCCATTTCAGATCATGTATGGTGGACTTGCACCAACAATTGCTCTTTATATGCCTAATCTCTTCTTCAATTGAACCAGACAACAGTCTTCTCACTCAATGAAGTACCAATTTATGCCAAGTTAAGCAAAATTTATCAGCCATGCAAAATCGTATGAATAAACAAGCCAATAAATATCATCAGGATTTGCTGTTTAAACTTCAACCATACCATTAGGTTTCTATCTGTCAACAGCAACTTTTGGAATTGTCCAGGAGATCTTAGGGTTCAGATGCTTGGAGAAATAATCTTTTGTATGCGTTGCATACATAAGGTTTAGAAAGAATATAACTACCCCAAAAGCTACAATTTTTGTATCCCGATAATACATATGAATATCAGCAGAAGAGATTTTATAGAAATTTGTTTCTTTAATGGATTTCACTTTTTTATTTCTTGTTGGCAGCTTTATTGTTATCAAGATGTGCACTGGGCTTGCAGTCATGCACAGTTGGTTGCATTTTAGTTATTTGGATGCTTTTATGTGCAACTTACCGCTTCATTTGCGCTCTATTGAAAGTTTGCTTATATGTATACATCTTTATTTTGTTCACACTAATGCTTAGCTGGTTCAGCGAGGGAAGAATTTATGTATAAATAGGGTTCTTTCATTTCATTTT